TATTATTATTATTATTATTATTATTTATTATGCCACTTAATATACAGATTAAGGATGGGCTGTCTCAAATTCCAGGCTGTCCCTCTGTAGAGTTTATGTGGGATGTCATTTATTTAGTCCATAATAAAATTCCATATAATAAGGCAGTTTATTAGCAAAACAATTAAGATGTTTCCAGTTGTGTTTAAATACCTTCCTTGGTTCTTAAAGAAATGCAAATTATAAGGATAATTTGTTCTTTCAAGGTTGGTCAAATTTCATGACTTTTTATTTTGTTAAAATGCTTCTTCATGGAACGATCATTCTCTTTCCAATAGAACTATTTGGCTCATGCTTGCAGAGAGACAGACAATATTTCAGTGCTATACATTTAGTTTACAGGGTTTCTTAACTTCACATTGGGAAAGTTTTCATATGTCCATACAACACAGATCATTATTTTTTTCCCTTTCATTTCTGCTGGGTTGGGTTATTCTTCAGATCCCAGTCTACTGCTGGATATGTCATCTTTTCCTCAGGGATGGGATGTTGTGAGGGTGGGCGGATAGTGGACGTGTTTCTTGTAGCCCATTACATCTCAGCCACGCTTAACTGCAGTAATACACTTCTAGGCCCAAACCATCAACACGTTGCTTCCAAAAACTTGTTAGTTTTTAAGATTTTGGCTCTGGGACTGCTTTATTAGCATATGTTATTTTGCATTCTTCACTCTCTCATTTGGTGGCATGTCCATATTGTTCCAAAGCACTTGGAGACACTCCACTTGGAGGTAAAGTGCCGTGGTCCTCCAGACATCTCATGTCTACCTTTATTAGACAGAAAGCTTGTGGTTATACACTGATCTATGCCGTTGTATCTTCTCTGAGAATAAATATATACACCTTTGGAAGTGCATCTTAGGATTGCCTGTTTGACACTCGAAGCACAGATCAGGCTTTTTATTCTCCCTATTCCAAGGAAATTTAGAAATAGCCCTCACAGCCTGTAGCTTTATGAAGAATATTCGCTTATCTGCTCAAATCAAAAGCAATGAAAATGGTACCTGAACGTAAGTAGAATTTTGAATGTTGACAGTATGGATTACATACTAATTTGGTTTGCTGCTGATATTGGCCAGTACTGAACATCAGACTTCTCTAGTCCTGTCCTTTTAGAAGTGAAGCTTTTCATGAGGTCTAAACTTTTACTTAAAGAATTAGAGTATATGCCCATGGCTGCTAAAACCACGTCACCCGACAGTGGGTATTGGTCAGAGACCACCATTTGTGAGTTTGCACTGTCTGATTTGTAGCTCATTTACAGTCAATAAAAATATGAAAAATCCCTTTATGCAAAGTTTTGTGGCCTGCTGAATGTGAGTAATCAGCGTTATGGATTGAACAGCTTGTTTAATCAGGAAGAGCCACTAGTTCCTAAATTATAAGAAGGGTTTAAGGTGGGTTTAACAATTATTTTGAAAGCATTTTGACATTACACTGGAATCTGGCCAGGGTGCTGTTGTATACTGTATTTCTCTTAACATTTGTAACCTCTATTGAAAGTCTGATTTTTTCTTTTCCTCCTCTTTGAAAGAAAATAATATGTGTGGGAGCATGAAGGTCGTTAAAAATAGAGTATGTCCATCTTTATTATTTCCGAAGAAAAGAGTCTTTCAAACTGTGGCGGTCTGAATGGTGGCTCATTTGTTTACTCACAGTTATGTAGTAAGCCATTTTGAAAGTGGTGTATTCAGGACACAAAGCTTAGATAAGCGTCTAAGTGTGTATCAAGAGCACCAAAACAAATTACTTAGAATTGAGGTAATGAGATTGCAAAGCAGAACTGAGTGTACCCCAGAACTGGAAAAGCCTTTCCTGGTGTTTACAACCCAAGTAGAATTTTGGTTCTGAAGGGTGGCATCATTCTGACTTCCTCAAGAGAAGAATCTTCAGTAAGAGTATCCCTGACTGATATCTAAGCAACTCCTGCAGTTATATGGTGACTTTGAAGTGAACCGATATTTCTAAAATTTTGGAATATGAACATGCATGTGCATTGAAATATGAGCATTGAGAAGCACCAGCTGTTAGAATTAGAGCCAGTTCCCAAACCTGCTTCCAGGAAGTTTCCTTCCCTGCCTCTGCTGCCACCTTCCCAGGAGCTGTGCAGCTGGTGATGGCTACAGCAAGCAAAGACTCCTTCTCTTCCAGATTTGTGCCTAAATGGACAGCTGGGAGATGTGGTAGGCTCATCTGCAGAACCAGTGTGCGGCCAGATAGCTCACGCGTTACCAGCTTCAGTGGATCTATAAGGACCATAAGATTAGGAAGCGAGAGTGTTTCTGTTCATCAGTTTTGCATTAAGCCTCTGGGTTACTTTTGAGCAAATCGATTATTTTTTTTTATTTTCTCTGCTGCTTTATTGCAGATCATTAAGAAGCTCATAGAAAGGAAACAAGCTCAGATACGGAAAGTTTATCCTGGCCTTTCTTGCTTCAAAGATGGAGTACGGCAGATTCCTATAGAAAGCATTCCTGGAATTAGTATGTATCAACCTCTTTTAATGTAGAACAGAAACAGAACAGCCCAAGAGAGGTCTAGGACTAGAAATACTAATGTAGTCATGTATTTCTTTTTGATTAAAATGTAATTGTTTTGGTGTGCTGATCTGATTTCTATGAAGATTGTTGTGTTTCCATTACAATTGCTGTCTTCGAGACTTCCCCAAGGCATTCCCAGGCTGATCCTCTTTTATGTACGTGTGTGTAATTTTATTTATACGTGATCCCTCTTTGATTTGTATTGCAATGTAGTCAGCGATTTCCCTCTGGCACCACTGTTATGCACTGCACTTCTGTACAAGGATGAGTTCTGTGCTCAACATGAACTTAGAGGGCAAAACAAAATTAGAACGTTTAAGTATTATCTTTTGGGGGATTTTTTTTTCAACTGTGCTTTTCTGCAATTTATTCTCTGTCCCTACGGAATCAAATTGGATAACTTTGACATCATTATCCTTTACAGCGGTTGTGGTAAAATATGTATTCAATTATTGAAAAAATGTGTGTTTCTTGTAGGAATGTTTTTAGACTATTTTCAGCAGTCTGGAGGAAGAGGCATGTAGGAAATTGAATGAGGCTGTAGGCTAGGTGGTTGTGTTATTTATTAGGAGTAGCTTTTATTAAAACAAACCCATTTTACTGCAGCAGTGCTGAAATGGCTTATCTTTTTAGAGTTGCAATAACTCAGTTAATGTTTTGACCTACTGTAGTTCCCATGTAATCTCTCATGTTGTTGGTATACAGGAGAGACTGGCTGGAAACCAAGCGGAAAAGAAAGAGGGTAAGTGCTGCACAAAGTAAAATGATGAAGCAGTTTGGAGATACCTTTGAGAAAAGTCTTTAAACAATGTCATTTGATATTTGCTTCCATCCACTGAAAAATAGATAAATAATCTGCAAAGGCTGAGTTCTTAAGTGTATGTTTTGTTTTCTGTTTGTATCTTGGGTTTTTTGTTTTGTTTTTTTTTTTTTTGTTGGGGGGTGGCTGGGGTGGATTTTGGGTTTGTTTTTTGGGGATTTTTTTTGGTTTCGTTTTTGTTTACATTTTATTTCTTCCATAAAATGCTTGAAACTTTGGAGTTGCTTTTAGGTAAGATGCACATCATAGGAATGGAGATAAGCTAATCTTTTTGTATTCATATTTTCTTTCAAGTAAGGAGCCCAAGGATCCAGATCAACTTTACAGCACATTAAAAACCATCCTGCAGCAGGTGAAGGTGAGTGCTCGTTCTAGTTTACCTCTGTAAAGATTTTGAAATTATTTCCAATATAGAGTTTCCATATTAGATACCTTACTTTTTTCTTTACCAAAGAGCCATCAAAGCGCTTGGCCCTTCATGGAACCTGTGAAGAGAACAGAAGCTCCTGGATATTATGAAGTTATAAGGTTTCCCATGGGTAATGCCATTAACATTTTTTAAGTATAGAGTTTAAAAATCTTTATAGCTGGAGACATAGCAGATAAATTGTAATTAGATTGCTTTTTTTTAAAAGATACGTGTTACTTGCAGCTGAATAGCTTGCAGCTCTGAAGTGCCAAGAGTATGATGCTGTCATTTGAAATTTATGACTGCTTGTGACCTTTGTGAAGCATATATAGCGTATACATGTGAAATCTTAGTATGCCCTAGAGAGCCCTAGCAAGTTCTTAAACAGTGCAGTCAGCTAGAAGCTTTTGGAACCGAGCTGGTTTATGTGAGCTGTATGAATACGTTCTTGTGTGTGGTAACTGGTCATTGCAGATCCTACTGGTATGTTAAAAAATCTCAAGACAAACTTTCAGGAACATCTGAGCATTTGAATTGCTTTAAAAAACAGATTTAAGCTTTCTAAATTACCTAGAGAAAACCTTTTCAAAAGTATCAGGGTGGTCTAACTAAGTTTTAACAGTTTGCTCTAGTTTAAGTTTACGAAAATGCTTCATGCAACTGATTATAAGGTAACTTTTATCTTTGTATTTTAGACATGCCAAAGTTGTCCGAGGTGGTTTATTTATTAATTTATTTAAATCATGCAGGTATTGTTTATGCAGGATTACTTGCAAAGGGGAGTACAGAACTGCTAATAACATTTTTCTTTGCTTTTGACTGCTGGGTCATATAAATTCAATGATGATTCAGTGCTGTTCTAAACAGATGCTTGTTTTGATTTGTAATGCAGCAGATTTAAAACTGAATCCTGGCACTTCTTCATTGTTTATGCAATACTCACCTCCATCTTTCTGATTACTGTTTCTGTACCTTTTAATGTTATTAGAGAATGAAATACAAGTTCGTTGGAGGCTACTATCAATCAGTTTCTCAGGCAATGAAACTGTTTGTTTGTGTTGTTTTACATAGGTTCCTAGCCTGTGTATACCAATTTGGCTTAATGATTTATTTTTATATTCAATTTATCATTTCCAAAAGAAAATATATGTGCACTTTATAAAACAGCAGCCGGCTTCCTGTATCCCTGACATAAATGTATTTTCTAGCAATGAAGAAAAAGAATGTTGACACCCTCCTGTGGCAGAGTTTTCTCCATCTCTTTTTTGAGCAGGGGCTAGGTCTAGATGGCTGTTCAATCTGAACGAGCGTTACAAAGAACTTACTTCCTGGGTTGGCAAACCCAAAGTAGGAATGTCATTTGTCCTTTCCTTGTTCAGATGGATTACACTGGAGGTGGGGGCAGCAGCTCTCATTTTAGGATTAACCTGAGGTTTAGTTTTGCTTTGTTTTAGGAACCCAGCACAACTAAACCACGTTTTGATTCATCATCAACTTCTGCTTGCTTTCTGTTCTCACGGCCAGCATGCTGATACTGTACAAGAATTGCTCAGACATAACTTCAGTTAAAAAGAAACAGCATTGTCTTTTCATATGCTATCAGATACAAGATATAACATTTGTCTTTACATTTTGCATATAGCCTAAATTATACAGTATTTGAGAGGTATGGCTTTAGGTTTTTTTGACTACCTCCTAAGGTCAGTTCTCATGTATAAACACTTTTTTCTCCTGTTTTAAGTGCTCTTTCAGCTGCTTATTTTCAAAAAATACTGTTCGGCGGCTTTTTTCCTTTTCATCTGCAAGACAAAAGCTGTATGGCTGAGTGACAGATGGAGCCAAACTTTCACTGTAGTTAGAGAACAGTTTAACTGACCAGCCAGGCACCGTTTGCTTTAGGTTGAGCTGAACAGCCTTCTCAGTTGGATGCTGTAATTAGACTATGGATATCTAGTTTAGATGTAGGCACCTAAATTTCAGACTTAATGGGAGCTGAATGAGCCTTTGCTTTTGCAAAATACTGTGCAACACTAGTGTATGGGAAGTTATATATCACTGGAAGAGGTATTTGAGAGTATCCATCAAACTTTTCTTAAATAATCTCTTGTCAATTTGACAGAGGTTTTCTCTATTTTACCAGTCAAATCTCTCTTTTAAAACAAAACAAAAAAACCAAAGCAAAGCAAAAATACCCACAACTGTATTTTTGAATCTTAAGTTTTAAGGTTTAATTCCTTTGCATTGGCGGTCTTTGATCTCTGCTTTCCTTGCAATACTTGTTGGCAGTAAGTCTTCTCCATTTCAGCTGTTTCTGTTACAGTTTCACAAAGGTGCTGCTGAAGCCTGGCTCAAGCATTGCTAAAAAAATAGTTCTTAGAGCATCTGAGGTGAGAAAAGCCACGGCATCCAGCACACCTCCCACTATTCCTGTACTCGCTCCTAGAGCACTTGTAATGTAGACAAAATTTTTAAATGCCTGATAAGAATTACTGGGAAAGCGACTGTGTGGAGAACGCTGAGATGATTTCTGTATTTGATGGATTTTAGCATAAAGGAAAACATTTCTTAAAGAATGTTCTGTAAGTAAAGGTTTTTCATGATGTACTGAAAGCAGGAGATGATAGATATCTGTTCTCACATGACTTAAAAAGAGATGATACATAACTATAAACTTTGAAGATGAAATTAAAATATATGTAGAGTGTGGAATGACTTTTTATTCTTTTTTCAAAGCTGCAAGTGCTGCTTGTAGTATAGACAGATGTCTCTCTGCTGTGTTCGCACAGAAGTGAGGGTTTTAGGTTAACATACGTGTTTTGTAGTTTGAATCTTTGCTTATACAGGCCTCCTCCAGCAGAGCTGACAACAGCTTTGCCTCACAGAGCAGTGAGAGGAGAGGTAGGGACACTTCATAGCCACTGAAAACTCAGAGAAGTATGAGAACACAAAACAATGCTGCTTTAATCTTTTAAAGAAGTAAAAATAAACTCTGCACAAAATCATTCTTAGAGTGAAAAATTGCTTAGTTCCAAGGGCTCAATTGCCGTTGAAGCAAAAAAAAGGACTGCATCTTACCTTAGATGAAGGCAATTGGGAATTCCAATTCCTAGCTTTGCCAGCTCATTTTAAATGGCAAATTAGTCTAAAGCAATATTGCATACAAAAAGTATTTGAATCAAACGCTGTTAATCTATTTTTCTTCTGTACAGATCTCAAAACAATGAGTGAGCGACTCAAGAATAGGTACTACGTGTCTAAGAAATTATTCATGGCAGACTTGCAGCGAGTCTTTACAAATTGCAGAGAGTACAACCCCCCCGAGAGTGAATACTACAAATGTGCCAATATACTGGAGAAATTCTTCTACACAAAAATTAAAGAAGCTGGATTAATTGACAAGTGACACTGTCTCTTTTACAGCCAATCAGTGTGCCTACTTTGTGGGCAGGGAAAGCTGTTGTATATCTGAGTTGTGGGACTTTAAGGTTTCAAGAAACTTCTGTTTAATACTTAGCACTTTTAAAAAAACCCTTTTAGTTTTGCAAACATGTATTATACGGAACTTACAAAAATTATTTTATTAAAATGCTTTATAATGTATTTAATTATGGAAAATTTCTTTTGTGTGCCCATTACAGTATGTTCATAGTATATCAGCTACAGCCTCAGAAACCCCACAAAACATGTGGGAGATTGCACATGTTTGGGAATATGAAGAAAATTCTCAGACAACAGATGTTATAGCTTACCTAATGTAGTACCTATTTGATAAAGTTTTATTATTTTTTTTCCAGTAAAAAAGAAAACAATAAGGGAAAACAACAGTTGGGGGGGGGGTGTCTGAAACACTTGTTTCTTTGTAGAGTCTTTTTATAAAATATTATTTTTTAAAAGAAACACTCAGCTGGTTGAGAAGCTGTGAGAGAAGAGCAGACAGTTCTGAAAAAGGACTGCCTGCAATCTTTGATAGATGCAAGTTTTTCTATTAATTTTGGGTTTTGATAAATATTTTACCTGCGAATTGTAATCTCATAACCACTATTTAAAAAAACAAAAACAAAAAACCTGGCTAGATGTGTAATGTCATAGAGACTTGGCTTATGCAGGACATAAGTACCCAAAATAACTTCAGAGAATCTGATTCGCATATACTCGACAATTTCAATTGGCTGAGTACAGTTAAGGTTTTGATGCACTTCATGATCCACCCTATTTACTGCTCTTCACTGATAAATTCTTTAGATTAGTCAGCAGAGAGAAGACTATTCCTCACAAAAAGACATCAACATATGACAGCTTTTAGCTTATATACTTGGCTCTGTGGTAAACTGGATTTTCTACCAAGCTTTATTGTAAATGCTTATTAACTGTGATTATTTAGACCCAGAAGCATCTTAACATTTTACAACTCATGTTAGCATATCTTCAAATTGAGCACTTATATATATTATATATATATATTTTGCTGCTTACACTACATTTAAGAGGTACACCTAACTTCCTAATGGAGATCCAAAAGTTTTCACTTGACATTTTCTAATTAGAGTTTGTAACTGTAAATTATAATTGCTTTTGTGAAAAACAGATTTAACTTTCATTGTTGGTGTTTTATATTTACAGATGTTACACTGGTAAAAGTCAGTAGCTGTAAGACTAAAAAAACCAAACAATCAATCCTGTGCTGTGTCAAAATAGAATTCCTGCAAAAATGCCTGTGCAATGTTAAATCACAAGTCGATTCAGCAAGTAGACGTCAGGAACTACCTGGAAGTAGTAAATGTGGTACACAAGGTATTCAAAATGTTAACACTAGACTTGCCATAGTGTTTTGTATAAGATTAGTCTGACCTACATTTGGATCTATAACAAAGGTACAGTGAGTATTTTTTTTTTTTTAAATAGCCAATACTGGATGCTATAATCCTGTTTTGTAGATTGGGCCTACAGATGCACCTGTTAAGCTTGGTATCCTGTGAAATTTTGTTATTTTCCGAGTAGATTTTCTTATCGTCTTTCAATCAGATTGTCTCTTCTATATTGAAACATTTGTTTTCTAATTTAAGAATTAATATTTTCATAGATACTGTGCAATAAAGTTACGGTAGGATATGTGGTTTTGCAAATGCTTTAACAGCTGATGAACTTTACATTTGTAAAATTAATATATTGTACTGGTACAGAATAGTTTTAAATTATATATGTACAAAACTCTACTTATTTTGGTCTCTTTTTTCATTAATTAGTTCTTGCACTACAACTATAAACACAGAAGCGATTTCACAACTGAGCCCAGTGAAGCTGCAAGAGTGCAATTAGCACATCTGCCAGGTACACTAGAAAATACACAAAAAAGTCTCAGACTTCACTGGGAGGCTCGTGTGCTGAGCATTCCAAGTAGCATTCCCAGCTGCATACACACTGAGCTACAGTGCTGTTGCTCCAGTCTCTTCAACATCTCAAAAAATTCTTTGGATTTAGCTATTCAAAAATTTTGATTTTTCACCTCAAAGCATGCTCATGCTGTTTTCTCATTGTTGTCTAGTAGAGTCCTTTATTCACAAGACAAAATTTACATAGGAGCAAACTAGAGCCCATTTTGAGCTTGTACTTACCTACTCTCACCATGATGTTACTCAGATGGTACACTTACTTTGCATACCATAAGCAAACACCACACCTGTCTAATACCTGACAGGTATTTAGAGGGTATGAAGAAGTTTCCCCCCCACCCCATTCGCTAAGATTTAATCCTGTGCCCTAGTGCATAAAAGTGTAGCAAGCAGCGGTCCAAAGAGACTTAGCCTTTTTCCTGGACACTTCTAGGTGAGCTAGACTCAGACCCTTCAAAAAAATCCACACCAGACCCACCACATCTACCTTGGGCTGCTCTGCTGTTCCTGATGAACAGCTGTTACAGGTTTGGTTGCTGAAAGAGTTAACTCATTCTGCTTAAGTTCCTGTAGTACTCAAGAGTTTCAGAAGGAAGATGGTGAGGCCCAGAGCTAGAATTTTAGGGTCCTCATGGAAGGTTAAGCTTCAGTTCCACATTCAGAGGCTGTGTTGTAAACAAGTATCTTCAAATACTCAGTAGCTACAGCTTTTATTACTATTGCTGAGAAAATCATGTTAAGACAGTGCCAGTACAACAGTAATTAACACTACACATTTTTATTACAGAAAGTGAAAGGTCTTACACTTGTTGAAGTGGGACAAGCAAGACAGGCAATTTTGCAAGACAAAATTTTGAATGTCACATAATTAAGTTCAAGATTTGCTTTGTTCCTGTCTGGTTAAGTTTAAATCACATTCACAGCAGTACCAACCAACGCTATTTGCTACTTTTGAGAGCTCCAGCTACATAATCAAATTACAACTGGCAACCTGGTTTCTGAACAATGTTTATGCCGCATAAAATGGGGGGAGGAGGATGGTGGCTTGGAGCACGCCCACAGCTGACACTGCTACCCTTTAAAGCAACTACCAAAACTGCAAAAAGAATACCAACCCACTCCAAGCTGTTTCTGAAGACTAAGATGTTTATTATGAGCTTCAATATGAAACTACAACCATTACATAAACAAGATCTGTACAAGCATTATTAAACCCCCCGCCTGCAAAAAACCCCCCACAAAACCATTTGATCTTAAGTGCCTGAAGTTCACCTATGCCAACCACTGTGAGATGAAGCAGGGTATAAGTCACATAATTACATTCACCATCTTTTCCATCAGATATTTCTGATATATTCAGATCCATGATGCAGGGATGCCTCCTCTCAAAAGAGTTTGAATGGCATCACCTTAGTTATAAAAGTCTTGTGTCTTCTATATCATTAAAAAAAAAGTCACTGGATTAAAAACAAAGCCCCTTAATTTTATATCCTTACTATTAGACACCTAGAAATAGTTGCATATTTGTGTAAGACACTGTGCAACAACAGTTTCCTGGATTAAAGATTTCCTTTCTTTGTGATAGCAAAACATGCTCACTCCACAACCAGAAATCTCAACGACAACCCACAAATTTCTCGTTGTATTTTGACAGAGATTCTTTCTTAAGAGAATGGCATTTAGCATCTTTTTTCTGCTTGAAAATTGGAGAATTCAGAAAGTTTGTATCTGTAAATGGATCACCTCTTCTGAGTTTCCTGTAAAAAAAAAAAACCACAAAAAACAACCCACACATAAAAAAAAGGCAAAATTAAGTTTTGTTTCCCACCTCACTTAAAACATAAACTTTCAGCTATTAAGTTCAATTTCACATGAACTATTTTGTATTATTAACCTCTCTTTGAATGTTTTGTTAAGAACTCGTTTCCAATATTTAAAATAATCTCCTCAAATCCTCCAACTGACAGAATGTCACAAACTTTATATCAAACTGGAAAGTGAAACACCTACCCTGCAATACTTGGTTCTTTATAGCTCACGGTAAGAGTACAGCTTCGCTTGCGTTTTGGAGATCGTGGTACTTCACCTTCTGGGACAACAGGCGCATTCCCAGTGCTGGGGAGCAATGAAGCGGTATTGGTAACATCACAAAGATGTCCACGAGATGGCTCAGCAGGCTGCCCTGGGAAAAGATAAGGTATATTTAAGACAATTCAGGCTAGCTAGCTTAAAAGAGAGCGTACTAGATGTGAAGTAACTCTCAGCTATAACTATTCTCTTCATCTTTCCTCTTAAGTAAGAGTGCATAAGAGGATCAACATGTATTCTGGATTTTAATTCAGAAAAATAGATTAACGCTAAGCAGTGCCAGGCACAGTGTGATTTGTTATTCCACTTCTCTCGCAATTTATACTCTCATTCTCCTCTTTTTCCCCTCAGCTTTAATACATCATTAAAACACATCTAAAAACACGGTATTAATTAATTGATGACAAATTTCTTAAACAAAACATATCTTTAATTCCAATTTCTGCTGAGGAAAAGAAAAAAGCGGACAAAAGAAAGAATCCAATGATTTTTATAACATTATTCTCTTTGTATTTATTAAAAAAAAAAAGCCTAAATCGCTAAAAACAATGTTATCTCTCAATGAAACAAAACCAATTACAGAACACTTTCTGCACTTACTGATAGACTTGTCACTTGATTTATTGCTTTCAGTCTCTCTTTCATGATGGAGTTTCTGCTCACGCTGTGCCAAACATCTTTTAGACCTTGGCCTTACGTGGACTGGCAATGTATCTGTCTCATCTACTGAACTTTTCCTTTTTTTTGATTTACTCTTATAAGGTTCATAGAGGCTATCATCTGAATCTTCTTCCATATCACTTGACTCGATGGTATTAGTTTCAGATATGTCGTCTTTGTCATCCACATCAGTATCTATGTCATTCACCTTATTTTGCCGAAAAGGTGTAACATGGACACTCTCTTCAAAATGAAAGTCATAAGCATCACTGCAGCCACCCAAGAAATCCAGCTTTTCTGTGGATGCCTCTTTACTCTGTCCTTTTTTTGGTCTTTGTCTGGAAGTATTTTTAGGCTTTCCCAGTTTTTCCTTCTGATGCTTCTCTTTCCTTACTTGAGAGTTTTCTCTGCTTTTACACTCACGTTGTTTAAGGTCAGAATTATTGTCTAAGTTGAAACATGTAGTTTCAGAATATACCTGTGTTAACACCAGCTCGGAACCCACTTTTTTTTTGTTCAACTGAGAAATATCTGAATTTATGTTTTCTACAGTACCCTTCTCTAGACTTTCCTCAAGTCTAATTTCATCCTGTTTAGAAGGCTCTCTTGTTGAATCAGGTGCTTCTGAATGGTCCAAGACACTAGTGC